GGGAAAGAGGCAGTGAAGTGAACTGGGTTTGGCTGAACCGTGTAGCATGACAAGAACGGCCTAGCCAACAGCGAATTTGAAGCAGGAACATCTGTTTGAAATGACACGCTCACCTCACTGGTCATCTTGATCAGAAGTGTGGCAGCATCGGAGAATTTGACCTGACTCTTCAAAATCTCAGCACTTAAAAGACAACACCGCTCGGCCAATAGCATGTTTCTGTGACACAGACACCAAAAACAAAGTCTTATACACATTATACGCATGCAGCAGGTTTCCAACAAAATCTGAATGATCTTTCCATCAAGTACTTAAGCATTTAAGCAACATAAACTGATGTCTGGCCTAAAAACAGAAGCAACAACTAAAATTCATTTTATTTATTTGAAGTACTACTAAAAGCAATTTTTTTTTCTTTAAAGCCACAAAACGTAATATATGGCCTAAAAAATGAACCAAGAATTATTTTTTATAATAATAAATAATTAATATTTATATAATAATAATAATAATATAATAAAAAAAGTGGAGGCAAAAATGAAAACTGATTGATTGATTTAATAATAAAACATTAAAACACTGAAGAAATTTCTAAAAGCCACAAAGTGATGTACGGTCTAAAAAAAAAGGAAGCAAATGAAATCAAAATTTGAACTGAAAATGCTTTATTCAATTATTTTATTTAAAAAAATAAATAAAAATAAAACACTAAGCTAATTTTTAAAAGCCACATAAAATGATATCAAAGAACTAAAAAAAAACAACTAAAACACGAAGAAAAAACAATTTTTTTTTATTCATTCGCTGATTTAAAATTTTAACAAAACACAGTAAAGTACTAAACTTGTTTTTTTTAATTCAGTATGAAATACTGAAGCAATAATTCAAATGGTTAGTTACTCAGTGAATTACAATTCTTGAAATAAAGCTGAACTAAAATGATAACTTAATTTTAAACATAATATTTACTTAATTTTGTTTTTAAATTTTACATTTAAAATACTAAAAACATTAAAATATGTTACCAAATAATAGTATATAAATGGGTAAGACGGGTGGGTAAGAAAACAATCAATGAAGCAGTAACATTCTACAAAACCAAATGCAAGCGAATGCTTGTTCTTACTTGCACACGTCTCTGTAGGTCTGAATAGCCGTGTCCATATAGTGTGCTGGGTACGGCCTGGGTGCCCCGCTCTGCAGAAAGGCAGCGACAGCAGCCATCTCCTTTAGAGACAGAGACAGCAGACAGCCAGTCTGAGACGAGTTCTACTCTGATCATCCACAAATGATGGCTGCGGAGCTAATTTCCAACAGCAGCTGCGCTATAACTGTGGTGTGCATCTCACCAGCGCTCCTGCAGCATACAGCATGGCCTGGTCAGAGAGGAAGTCCTTCTTGGCAGTGTGGTAGCAGTTGTAGGCCAGCTCATAGTGCTGAACGAGGAAGCAGAGGTCGGCCATCTTCCTGATTTGAAGCTCTGGAGCCTCTGAGGGATATCTGATATCACAGAGGTCAAGAGACAGATAAGATGTAGAAAAGAACAACAAAAGCTATTTTATTTGTACTTCAAGTCACTTACAGCAGCCCTGCGGTGTTCTTTAGTTCAGCAATACTCTTCTCTGGGACCTTACCTCCACCAAACAACTTCTTAGTGGCGGAGAAAAGAGATCGGCTCAGACCTTTTCTTGAGACAAGCTAGAATGAGAGATAAAGAAAGATGAAGAAAATGACAGAAAAGAGAAGCTCCAAAGCTGTGTTGGAAATATATATATATATAAAATATGTTTGCATTACTGTCAAAAGTTAATGAAATTAATATTAATAGACCCTTGACTCTTGGGTAATTTAAGCCTATTCGTTATCGAAGAAGGTGTACCGTCGATAAATATCGATACCGTTTTATCGCCCAGGCCTAACTGATACTAATATATTTTTAAGAAATTGATATTTTTATTCAGCAAGTATGCATTAAACTGTAGAGACGTATAATTTGTAATGTTAAAAAAGATGAATGTTCTATTTCTAATAAATGTTTTTTTTTTACTTTCTATTCATGAAAGAATCCTGAAAATGCAACCGTTTTCAACATTGATAAGAATAAATGTTTCTTGAGCAGCAAATCAGCATATTAGACTGATTTCTGAAGGATCATGTGACACTGAAGACTG